TAAGAGCAGATGTTGTTTAAGGAGGAGGCTGCTAAGTGTGCACAGTGTTGGGGGCAACTTCTGAAAAGGCAGCTGTTTTCTGGTGCCAGCAGGGAGGGCACCCCCGGGGCCCATACCCTAAGGGCTGGATTTCTGTCCAGGGTTCCCTCATTCCCCTTGCGACCTGGCTGACCTCACGGCAACCTGACAGGTAGGGACTAATGGGGAGCGGGGCCCAGGGCATTGACAGAGCTTGGGGTCAGGGCACGTTCATCATCAGGTCACATCCCTCATCCCCACCCTGCCCCTCTGCTTCCCTGGCAGCGCAACCCTGTCTGGAACGCCTGAGGATTTGCGGAGGAGAGCCAGGTAGAGCTGTCTGTAAGGAGCAGAGCCCCTCACCCTTGGCACTGCACTGCATCTTTATCCAAGAGGTAAGAACCAGGCCATTTTGCCCCATCCAACCTCAGACCGACCCTCAGTAGGCAAGTGATGACTTCGCAGTGGGTGGTGGCTGGCAGGAGGACACAGCTGCCTCTCCCCATCCCCGTCACTCTCCTGTGTGGTCTCCCTACCACTCCTGTCTCTCTTTGTTCTGCATTAATCATCTGCCTCCTCCCACTGTAGACTGCAAAGCCCTCAATGGAGGACTACACCTGTCTTGCCTTGCACTGTGTCGCCAACACAGAGGAAATGCAACAGTCTTTGTTGAATGCGTGGATGAGTGAATGATCCACCAGCTATTGTGGTGAGCTGGGAAGAGCTGTTTCTTCTCCAATTGACATGTGAGTAGCATCTTAAAGAATTCACGTGCTGGGACAAGAGGCTCAGGAAATCATAAGTCTCGGTGTCTTGAGGGATGACTCTGTGGCAGGGAGAGGGAATGACAGCCCAGCGGAACCCACCTACGCTGAGCTGTCCCCGAATAAAGAGGCTGACGATGTCGACATGTGGACAAAAGACAGTGTGCGCTGGGGCCATTTGGGAATGACAGCTGGAAGGTCCAGCCAGACCATGAAGGGGCTGCGGTCCTGGCCTTGTCCCTGGCTCCTCCTCTTGTCTCCCGAAAGATGGGGTTGGTCCAACTTCCTGAGCCACAGACGAGACTGGACCATCTGGGCAAAGAAGAGAAAGAGGTGAAGTCTCTCTTTGACTGAGTCAAAAAGAGCCCATCCAAGGTGAAAGGGTCGATCTTCAGGTGTGTTCATCCTTTAGTACGAACGACAGATCAGACATCCAGGCCCCAAATTCCTCAAGACCAAGCAAGGGTGGCTGTTCCTGATGTCTTGACTGTGAGAGTCGTATATATCTTGGGGAGGAGAGACTGATTTAAGACCGTAAGGTCACAGTAGTGACGTCTGACTCCCTGTCGGTACAGCTCCAGTTGGTGGGGCTCTATGTGGGAGTTGAATGCAGCGTGAGAATCCACTCACTCTCGAGATTAGGAAGGGTCAGAAATACCTGGGAGAAGACAGGCTTCCTGAGCGGCCCCTCCCTTCCGCGCACCAGGAGGATGTACACAGGAACAGGGACCGCCGCCCCCACGGCCCAGGGTGTCGCCACACTTCCCCACCGAGCACGAGAGGGCGGGAACTGAGAAGGGAGAGTCGTGGGCACATGACTTGGCTCTGTCTAGGACCTGCCAGGATCCGAGCCCCATGGGAAATGATCAGGAAGCTTCCGGCCATGCCGGGAGAACCTCGCCTTTCACACGTGAATCTCGGGAACAAGCCGTTTCCATCAGGGAAAAGCGACACCGGTCGCGTGAAGGTTAGAAGGCACTAAGCCTAGAAATGGACTGGACTGTACAAAAGAAGGAACAGATTGGTCCCCAAAGCCAAACCCGATTGTTTCCGAAGCTGTAAAGGTCTGCGGGTAGGGAGGGTGCTGCCCGGAGGCTTGCGACTACAGGATTTCAGACTCACGGAAAGGATACGATGGACGTGGAGACACACTGGGGGCCTCAACAAACCACATCGCTCTTGCTTCCAGTACTTTCCATGAAGAGTAAAATCTCAAGCAAATGTAAGGCCCAGGCCTGGGTAGGGGAAGGGGGTGTGTGCTGAGGGACTCTGAATTCCACAGGTCACGCTGCGAGAGAACATCGCCCGGGGCTGCAGCAGGACCGGCCGGGCCACGTCATCAGGGTCCCGCGCGTGCAAGGCCAGGCACGGGTACATACGGCCTGTGCTCGAGTTTTACACGCTTCGCTGCCGCAGGGGCTGAATTTCGCAGGCCTGTCCACCTTCACTTACCATCTCCTCTTACCTACACGATGTTTCCGCCTGAGGGTTCTGGGACAAAAGGTAACCAATGACAAAACAAAATAAAACAGCATTACATACACTCCCTCAGCCATCAGGAAACGGTAACCTTCCCCTACCTGGGTTTATTTTGACGGACGTCAGTACAGAACTAGATTTTTGGGCGTGGGACGTGCACACATCTGGTGGCTGCACCCGTGGGGGTCTTGCAGCCCTGCCTTGAGCACGTGGCTGCAATAAGGAGGGGGGCAAGGGCTTTGCTACTTTAAGCCTCTTTCCAAGGCGTACTGTCTTAGGGACTCGGGAAAGAGTTCGGGGCATCCAAGGTGCAGCCGTGGTCGGGGAAGGGGCCTGAGTTGCAGCCGGAGATGACAGGGTGGACAGCAGGAGCCCGTCGGGATGCCTGAGTTCCCAGTCAGTGAACGCACAGCCCCCTGCCCTCCCCTCCTTCCCAGCTGGGCTGGATCTGGAGCTCAGAGCGTCAAAGACCAGAGCAGCAGCCGCCACCACCTGCCAGGCGCTGGCAGCCCTCACCTGTGCTCACACCAAGCTGTGCTCACCTGGAGCCGGGGAGGCCACTCCAGCGAGAGAGACGTGGCGCTGAGTAGCTGACGAGGCTGACGACACCCACGGAGAGGTGCAGGCTGGAGCTGGAGCGCCGTGTAATGCCGTCCGGGACCCTGGAGGTGGTCAGATGCCAGTGGCGGATGTTTGCATGGTCTCGGTATATGATAAAGCTTTGGGGGGAAAATGACAGCACAAAAACCAAAAGAACCACTTTCCTAATTCCCAAGCAGTATCACGGATACAGGTCTTGACGCTACAGTGTGACAAAAACAACCGTTTCCCCTCCACGGCATTACCCCACCTGCAGTTATTCCAAGAGGTACAAAGGTGAATGTTTCAAGCACAGTTCAAGGTGATCCAGAGGGAGGCTGAGCCCGAGGAAAGAACCAGGTCGTCTACCCGGCTGGCCAACAAGTAAGGACAAGCTCGGCTGTCTGGCTCTGACCTTTAACCTTTTAACCTGGTCTGCGCCATTTCACTCCATCTGCTCAGGCACCTACTGCTAAAATCAAGGTTGCACACGGGCCGTGCATAGGAAACATACTCTTTGGAGACAGGCCACCCACACCTGACCGGGCTGTCCTCATAGGGAGGAAGCATCTAACGGGGAGGTGTGGGCTGTGAGATGGACCCCCAGATCCCTGACAGCACCCCCTCCTGACAGCAGGTCTGGGGCACCAGGAAACCTGTCCAAAGCAGGGCTTGCAAGGGCCTGCCCTTGGACTGCATGGCGGGATTTCCCATCAAGCATGTGTGGCTGCGATTCTCTGCAAGGAGGCTCCGGTCTGGGGCCCCTATTCCCACTGGGAAGCGCTACAGTAGGGTTCTTGGTGACAAAACAGAAATGTCAGCCGATGGGAGAGGACAAGAGAGCAGTCTCTTCAATACAGTTTCCACCAAGACTCAAAGTCACCCTTGGGCCCAAGAAAAAGTGGGCGGCACCTGTCCACCGCGTGTGGGACAGAAACGCAGCACCTGTTAGCCGGGGCACCCGGGTTGTCTGCGTCTAGAATGATTATTTTTCACCTTCAAACAGACTGGAGCCCTCACGTATTTCGGAGTTCTGCCCTGACATACACACACACGGTAAGGATATATTCCTTTAATTTTTGGAACTGGAAAATTTAATTCAGTCTATGCTCGTGTGACACAAATGTCCGAGAATCCACCGCCCGCCCGACCTGATGCTCAGGCCCCTCTGCAAGCAGCCAGCTAGGTAAATGTGCACGTGGTTGTTAGGTAGCATCTTCAAACAATTAAATGGAAAAAATCATATTTATGCATATGTGTGTATATGTATATACACACATACAAATATATATATATATACACATACATATATAAAAACCATGACATTCTTACTTCCGGCCCAAGATAACAGAGCGCACAGTTGGTGCCACTCACCGGACATTTAGCAAACGCAGGATGTGTCATTGAGAGGCCTCGTTGTCTGGGTCGAGGCTGTCCCCCCGGCAAATGGTGATGGAATACCAGGTCACCAGAAAGAATATGCTCACCTGTGGAACTGCGTTTCCAATATATGCGTGTATATATATGTGTGTGCGTGTGTGTGTGCGTGTGTGCGGTATGTGTGTGAGCTGAGTTGCCAAAGTAGAAAACATCGGTTTATTCTGTTCATACTAAGCATGTTAAATAAATCAGATTTTATACCTATAACACAATTCTTTTTTTAAAAAGGAACACTTAAGATCTTCAAAAATTGCTACAGTACAAAAAAAGTGTGTGTGTGTGTGTCTGTGTGTATTTATATATTTATATATGTATATTAACCAGAAATAGGGACTCTGTCGGAAGAGATTCCCACCCCCGTTCTCTGTGAGATTCTACGCGTGGTTCGCTGGCTGGCTCCGCGCGAGCCTCGGGGCAGTACATGGCACATAATGGTATTATTGGCACGGGTTCAGAATCGCAGTACGAATCCTCGGTTTGGACGCTTCCTCCTGTCCTTGCTGCCTGGTGGCCTGTTCCCTCTGCCTCCAGCGCCTGTCTTGCGTCTCTTCTTTCTGTTCTCCAGAGAAAACTCCGGGAGAGGCGGTCACCCATAGGCGTGAGCATTTTTACAAAAATATATTTGGCCTCGAGCGTCCTGCTCTGCGAGTTTCCCGCCGGCAAACAGAAGTGGTAGGTCGGGGACCCTCCCCCTTAGGTGACTTAGTTTTAGGTTTTGTGTTTTTTTGTTTTGTTTTGTTTGTTTTGTTTTTACAGGTTCACCCACGGAATCCTGTGTGGAAAGAAAAGAAGAGGAGATTAAACGGCGCAGGCCCGGCGCGACGGGGCCGGGAGGCTCACCGTCTAGCTGAGCCTCTGCGTGCAGAGCCCCCGCCCCCCGGGTCCCCTTCTCACGGAACTGACACCTAAGTGTCCCCAGAACGTGAGGATGGCCTCACTGGGGCTGCCAGCAGGAACTGAGACAAACGCCAGGGCCCCCAGAGGTGTGAACCCAGTGTGAACGGAGGGCTGGGCTTCCCAGGAGGCGGCTGGGACCACCCCCTCCATCGACTCCCGGGTGGGGGCGCCGCCTCCCACGGGTGCACGTCAGTTGGCCGGAGTGTGGCCACCAGGTGCTCAGTCCCTGTCCAGCCTCCCACCCACGGAGGGCGGCGCTGGGTAAGGAAATGGAGTCCGTCTCCACCCAGCGCTCAGCGAGAGGCTCCCTGAAGCCAGGACTCGGGAGAGGTAAACGGACCGTGTCAGAGACACCACCTCCGGGATCTTTCTAAGAGGTGATCTTCCTGAAGAGGGAAAGGAGGCAATGCCACCTGCGTGCCGGTCAGGTTAGTGGCTGCACCTGCCGCCTCCAGCAGGCCAGCGGGAAGGGGACCGCTCTGGCTGGCCGGCATAAGCCTCAGAAAACTCAGAGCCTTCCTGGCTCAGGGAGAGACCCGGCAGGTGAGCACTCCCCAGAGAGCGACAGCGACAGTCCTCCCAGGCAGGGCACGCCACGCCACGGTGAATCAGGACACAACACAGTTGAGTAGGTGGGCGGGGACAGGGGTCTGCTCAAAGCTGCATCTCGGTTACAGGGAGAGGGCGTTGTTCCCGTCCCTCCACTGTCACTCAGAGCTCCCACCTGCTCCCCCACAGCTACAGGCAATCAGGACTCTCAGAAAGGGAATGTCACTGCACCCTTGTCTCTGCAGGTGATACACGTTAGAAGGTGGTGGCGTTGTAGGGGGGAACCCAGCGATCCCAAAATGAGGTTGGGAGAAGCCCCCACCAGGAGGGCTGCAACCCCCCTGGCAGCTCCAGGCACAGCAACAGGCCAGACCATCACCATAGTCCCCACTGTCAGGGCATTTCAAAAACTCAGATTCCCACACCCACCTCTGGAGACCTGGAATCAGGTTCTCTGGGAGCTCCCTAGGGAAGCCCAGTGGCCCGCCAGGCCCGGGCCCATCACCCAGTTCTCCCCAGCAGACCAGGGTGTGGCATTCTCCCTCCTCAATCAACTATGCCCACCGCGGTGACCCTGGTTGGGACAGAGGGATGGAAGGCCCCGGGTGCAGGACGCGTCCTGGGAGTGGACGGCTGGCAGGCCCGAGTGGCGCCTCCTACACAGCCCTGCGTTCCTTGTCCTCTCCAAGAGCCTCAGCCTGGCAGTCTGTGGGGGCGGGGAGGGGGCGGTGCTGGCTCCCCTCCCAGTCCGGACAGCGGAGCATCACCTCACCTTGCCGGCTCTCTCCAAAGGACACCTGTGTGGGCAGCTCTGTGGGGCCTGCAGTGGAGCGTCCCCTCGCCCACTGTGGGCATAGGAGCCACCACGTGTAAAGAAACGGCACGTGCCATCGGGTCGGCACTGGAGCGCTCGATAGCCCTGCTTCAGCTGCGCCCACCCCCACCCACCTCCTCCACGTTTCCAGGAATGGGGGGGCAGTTTGCAAACGAAGTAATTTAACAGAAAGAAATACCCCTCTTGCATGGACAAATACTATGATTCCATGATACGAGGTCTCTAGAGTTGTCAGACTCACAGGGACAGAAAGTAGAGTGGGGGCTGCCAGGGGCTGGGAGGGGGAGGGGCTTTAGGGTGCGATGGGGACAGAGCTTCAGTTTGGGACGATGAAAATGACCTGGGACGGATGGTGGTGGCAGCGGCACAGCAATGTGAATGCATTTATTGCTACAGTTAATATAGACTCAAAAATGGTTAAAATGGCAAATTTTATGCTATATATATTTTATCACAATTTTTAAAAAATTTTAAAAAGAGATTAAAAAAATGGGGTCACTAAAGGCTGGGCTTGGTGGTCCGGGACAGTCCCCACTGTCAGCTGCTGTCCTGTTCTCCTGACCACTGGTGACTCAGAGCCCACCTTTCACTCTGAGTGTCCGGGGCTGGGCCAGAGGTCCGACAGCTCCCGCCTTGATAAGAAGGGTTTGCTGCGTGAACCGCTTTCCAATCCTTGACCCTGACCTTAAACCTGGGGATCAGGGCCCTGCCCTCCAGCCGGCCATGCTCCTGCAGGTGTTCCCTGTGGACGTTATCCTGCCGCTGTCCCACTGGGAAGCTGCTCACTGGATCTACCTGCATTGTGTCCCGCCTCCTGCCCACCTCATCCTCCCTCCTCCCCTCTAGGTTCCAGGTGGTATCCTGACCTCAGACTGCAAATGGCAAACCTGAAATGCTTCCGGTTTCAGCTGGAAAGGTCTCCTCCCCGGAGGCCTCCTTGGACTGCGCCCCTGCCTGGACACTTCCTCTGTTATTTCTGTCCATGGGTGTGTCCTGGCCCTGGTACTCCCTGGGTGCAGGGCAGTCTGCACTGAGTTTTATTGGGGTGTGTGTATGACGCATCACCCACTGGCAGGGCGGCTCCCGGAGAACAGGTCTCCTGCCAGCTTCCCTCTGGGTCACTCAGCTTCCAGCCCCGTGCCTGGCCCGGAGAGGGAAATCGACACTACGTGAAGCTCAGAGAAGCAGCGTGGGCATGACCCAGCTCTGCCTCCAGTGCCTGAGACGGACCCCCACAGCCTGGATCAACCTCAGGTGCTGCCTGCAGGCGGATGCTGACGAGAGAGCCACTTGGGGGAGGAGGATCAGCAAGGGGGCTGCAGCCCACACCGGAGCACCAGACAGCTCCCGCCCCGCAGGGACGGGCTCCTCATCCGGGTCTACAGGCTTCTCTCTCTACTGGGGTCTCAGGACGAAAAAGGGAGAAAGCAAGAGAGAGATGGATCCAATCCTGCTGACAGGCCTGCTGCGGAGCAGAGCTGGGCCCCTGCAGAGGGTGGGGGATCCCTGCAAGGGCGGGGCGGTGTCACGGCGCCAGGCCTAGGGGAGGGGTCCCAGGCTGCCCACACTCACCCTCCAGGGTGCCCTGAGTTCTTGCGGGAACCCTGCTGCTCAAGCTCCTTGTGGGGGCCTCTATGGGTTTCTCTGTCCCAAGGCTCCGCACACGAGCCGCTCAGCTTGGCGCTAAACTCAGAGAGGGACAGAGGAGCCCCGGCCAGCTGGGAAAGACGGGCGAGGTGGGCCCAGACCCCGCTGGAAAACAACACAGCCGGAGGCAGACGTCCACTTCGGCTCCCCGGCCCAAACGGGGAGCCGAGCGTGTGCTGCTAAGTGAGCTCCCAGATCCGGATCTGGGATAAATCCTGCCCTCTGCTGCCTGCAGAAGGCTCCTCGGCTGGCCTGGCCTCGTTGGTCCCTGGGTTCCCTGGGTTTGAGGATCCGTGTCTGCTTTTGCAAAACAAAGAGAACAGACAGACCACAGCCAGGTCTCCCTGGAGACACAGCTAATTTCTCCACAACCTAAAATGGCTACTTTCCCCCTCGAACTTCCCTGGTGCCGACTCTCGGCTTAAAGTACGGCTGCCGGCAGGCTGGGGATGGTGCTTTGAGAAACGTGTGCCTCCGAATAGCAGAAGTTTGACATTCTGTTAGTGTCCTTCCTTTAAAGAACAAAGTGGGAAGGTTCAGGTGCATTTCTGATCTTTTTTATTAGTTATGTCTTCAATATGTTTTTGAAAATAACAATAACACATGATTGATTCCTCACTCGCTTCAGATTCAAGAGCTTTTATGACTTTCGGGCTCCGTTCGGAATGGAGCGGCCTTGGCTGATGGAGAGGGCTGAACGTTAATGAGGTTTCCTGAGGTTTACCTGTTATATGAAAAATGGCAGGGGGTTAGCCCGGGAGCCCACGCAGGCCTGCCCGCCAGGCCCCCTACCTCGGGGCAGAGGAAGGCCGGCTGCATTTTGTGTCTGTCCAGAGCAGCCCGGCCCCACCACAGAGGCTGGCTCGGGCGAGAACTTGGTGGCATCTATTGCAGAGGCTGATCTAGGGGGACAGGAGCTGCTGGCATCGCAGACAACCCGCCTACAGGAAAGCGGACTTGGCCACGGCGTGGGTCCCAAGCGTGCACACAGGGGAGAGTGAGAAGACATGTATGTGATAGCAAACGGCTATATCATCATTAAAGATGCATTTGGAGACGCTTAACAGCTCCGCGAGAGATAAATATCTCCACCGGCTCTTAAACCTTAATTAAATGTTTTAGTATTAATTGCTATTTATTTAAGGGACAATAAGTACCCTAGTAAATCTGAGAGATCTTTCTGGCTATTCTCTGCTTGGTGCTCATGTCCAGTCATTAATTGCCAGAACCAGGGGATACTTGGAATCCGAATGCCTTCGTCCCAGCTAGTGATAAACAGTCTGTCCACGCAGCCACGGAATCTTCAAGCATTTGTCAAAGGACTAACGAGGCTGTTTGCATAGCCCTCCTGTCCGCGTCTGTCGGCGGGGCAGACTCAGTGGCTGGGCACGGCTGGCTCCCAGCAAGTCCCGAGGACCTCTCTGGACTCCCCAAATGACCTACCTGAGACCCACAGGGAGGGGTGGGCCTTTCAGACACAGAGACGTTCCAAACAGAGGTGAAAGAGCTCCTGGGGCCCACATAGGAGCACCCACACCTCTCGCCCTCACCCAGGGGTGGCACGCGGGGATGGCCCCCCAGCAGTGTTCGTGGAGGGCCTTCGGTACTCCGTGTTCCCGGAGGTGAGAACCAGGCTGATGCGACAGCAAGGTTTTCTGGCAGAGGAGTAAGTAAAAGCACTTTTGTTCTCAATTTTAATTTGTTTTCTTTTTGCAGTCAGTGCTGCAGCTCCCTGGTTCGATGAGAGAGAGGGGTCCCCAGACTTAGACCTCCGGACAGGTGGGCTGGGCGTCATTTAACCCCCCAGTGCCTCAGTTTCCACACTTGTAAGTGGGATTGCCGGGAGGATGGAACAAGTAAAGAGTGCCACGTGAACATCCACGTAAGGGAACTGTCCCCTCTGGGTGACCACTCCAGCCCTGCAGGCTGGTGGCTCTTGGAGGCAGGAAGGGGAGGTCTTCCATGCACAGGCCCATCTCATCCCAGGTCAATGAGTTATACTTTAGTCCATGTTTAAATCATAACAGAGATGCTGGCGGCCACCTGGGCCCTGCAGGGGCTTCGCCAGGTGGGTCGGGGACTCCTCGCTCCTAAGCGAGCTCCCTGTTGCTAGCTTGGTTGGACTCCAAAGAGGGATCTGTCTGAGCCTTACAGAGGGGAGTCTTGTCGCAGGCAGGCAAAGGCACATGCTTCTGGTGGGTGCGCCAGGCCCCGTGCGCCCGCCCGCTGAATGGTGGGGACGGCCTGGCTCACCTGCCTGGCCCACGCAGACTCGGCAAAGGCCTTGGCGGGGCGGCTGGCTCCCCGTTCTAATCTAATTACATTTCTTTGCCAGTTGGCGGAACATGTTGGCTTGGGACAGGGAGAAAGGCTGGAGATTTGATTTGGAGCGAACGTGCGATTCATTAGTGTAGGATTAGGAACTGACCCACTCAGCCCCCCCGACTGCAGCCGGCTCCTGGGCCCCAGCTACGTGCAGCAGGCGGGGGCCCCAGAACGCCCACCGCCAGGCCCACGACTCCACTCCGACAATGGCATCGCCCACTCAGCCCCTGTCTTGGAAGGTGAACGAGGAGGAAGAAAACATATTTTCAAATGTCGATACCCATCCTAGAAACAGGGCTCCCTACTCAGGGAAGGGGTCTGATGTCACATTTAGAAGGAATATCTGCGGGGAGAAAAGCCTGACTCTGTCCACAAACAAAATGAGGATCCTTAGACAACCCGGCATCAAAAAGAAAAACAAAAACAAGAACAGAACCTGAGGTTGCCTCTACAGACCGTGCACACAGAGGTTTGGAGTGTGCAGTCGGAGGTGGGGGAAGGACTCTCCCGGCAGCCGCCTGCGTGTGCGGGAGAAAGCAATTTAACGTCTGCATTAAAGCTAATATCATTGCAAGCAAACCAAATGTTCCTATCTAGCAGAGCGTGGAAAATTCATCCTGTTTTGGTACCGGTTCCTGGCTTCAAATTAGTAGATGTCTCAACTCTTCACTTTCTTTCTTTATCATTTTCTTTCTTATCTCTCATTTTTATAGTTAAAGTTGTGTTTTAATTCTGCTCTGCGCCCTCTCCCGATGTGCAGACACGTGATGGAGCCGCGATTCCTGCCTGCTTAGCTGCTGCCCCAACCTCTTCCCGTCGAGGGAAACGAGAACTGTGATTGCAGCTTGTTTCGAGAAATGATTTCCCCCCCACACACAGGCCGCGCTGGCCGTGGCCTCCCTGAGGGATCAAAGGCGCTGGTGCTGACAGTCGTGACACCGAATCAGGGTTCACGAGAGTGTCTGCCACTCTCCGGGGGGACGTGGGGGCGTTGCTAACAAATGCAGCGGGAGACGCACAGCCCAGCCATCCAGCTCTCATTCCGAAAGGCGACGCCATTGGAATTCCACCCACCACGTGGGGGAGGGTCCCAGTGATCCCGAAGTGGAGGGGAGAAGAGGGGAAACCGAGATGTGAAGAGGGTACCTACCATGGAATAGACACGCGGCGTCTGCCCTGCCCCCAGGAGGTAAAAAAGGCTTCGCCAGTCAGCAGGAGATTTCAAACCATTTCTCAGACACAAAGGCCACGGGAATGAGGTGCCGATCAGAGGAGGAGGGCCTGCGGGAGCAGAGAAAGGGGCTTGCGCGAGCGGCACAGACACAGCCGGCGGCGGCACCAGGCCGGCTCCGGACAGGAATCCAGGGAGGTCGTCCGGCGGGAAGGGACCCCGTTCTCTGTGGCTGGGGAGAGGTCTTCGCGCCTAGCCTGGAGGGCTCTGGAGCACACACCACGGCTGAGGGACCGGGCACCGGGGACTTTGGAGTGGAGGCGGAAGGCCGGTGGTCCAGCCCCCACAGTGGTGCTGGCTCCAGATTTTGGTTTTCAGATTTGCAGGAGGAGCCCAGAGCCTGGGGTCCCTGCCTCTGACAGCAGAGGTTGGAGGTGCTTTATTGCACTGGCAGGAAGGACAGGACCTGGCCCCTGAAGTGTCTGCCCCATAGTTTGTCACCCTTGAGACTAAGCTGCCATTTCCCAAGGCCAGAAAGCAAGCACCCGTTCCGTCCGCTCTCTCTGCCGGGGCCTGAGGGCTCCGCTGTGCCGACCCTGTGTTGGGACGGGGCCCTCCACCCGACATGGACACGGGGGAAACAAAACAGAACGAGGACCAGTCCACACCCCGCCCCCTCCCCCAAGGCCGGCCAGGATGCACAGCCCGACCGATCCTTTCACCAAGCCTCTGCGAACTCGGCCTTCTGGAAGGCCGGATGCCACCAAGGAGCTCCCTGAATGTCTGGGTGTAAAATCAAAGCCGTTTAGAGCACTTCTGAGCCTTCTACGCTGCTGTCCTCCCCTGGAAGGGAAGATGGCGTCTGAGACAGAGAACATTGCAGAGTCTGACGTGGAGATGAAGTGAGCTGAGAAGGTATTTAAGGGACATCTGCTCATTCTCGCTGACGGGACAAGGACAGGTTAACTCTGGGCACTACAGCGGGCCACTCAGCCGTCCCTTGCCAGGGCCACAGCCTTCGCTGTCCCTGAGCGAATCAGCAAATGCAACAGGAGTGAGCACGCAGCTCTCCCTTTCTAAGAGGGACCTGCATCAGGAGACCTGGGGCAGTGTCCCTGCTGCTGGTCCCACTGCTGACGGGGGCCTTGGGAGGCCGCCCGGTGACCCATTCATTTCTTCCTAAGATTTTCAAGTTGTTGGACATCTTTTTTAATTTACAAAATGATGCCATAATGTATGCTCACTTAAAAGAAGCTTATTGATATTTTAATTTAATTCTGGACAAACCTTCAGGAGCTGACTCAAGGGTTTCTTAAATATTCCCTCGTAGGGCTGTAGGGGTCTGTCTTCTTTGAGGGATTGCACGTGAATAATAAGAATGAATGTTCGATAGGAAAGTCTGGGCCGGGCGTCTGGCTGATACTGGCGATTTTGCTGTTTGTTGCTGACTTTTTACTGGCGGGGCACAGAGCCCAGACTCTGGGGCCGGGCAGTTGTGACCTGCTGGTGTTTAGGACGGCAATGACCACACAGCTGGCTTTGAGCTGGGGCAGAGGGAATGAACGACGCTGCCTGGCCGCAGGGCGTGGTGGCAAGGCTGGGCGTCCGCATGTCCACCCGCTGCCCAAGCGCAGGGGTCCAGATGGGAGTTGGGCTGCCTCATTCTCTCGGCATGGAAAGGCCCGCTGGTACCTACCCGCCTCTCTCGTTTTGCCAAACTAGCTGCTGCATCTGCTGGGCCCCTCAAAGCCATCTACGGGACAACTGAAACGGACCAACAGCCAGCGCTCGGCCACACCCGGGCTCTGGGGTCTGGACCGCCAGGAGCTTCACAGCTTCCGGGTCTGCCCACGGCCGAGCTTACCGGTTTCCATTGAACGTGGACTTGTACTCCCCCGCCGGGTGCAACGTCTCGTCGGTGTACACGGGGACAGACGCCCTGACGCACTCGTGTGAACACTGGAGTGTCTCATTGTAGGCCGTGAAGATGTCCAGGCTGCTGGCCACGCGGGCCGAGGTGAAGTCGGTCAGGTTCTGGCAGCTCTCTTCCTGCTGGTTGGTCTTCCGCTGGTGGCTGTTCCTCCGCGTGTTCCCGCTCTGGGCACAGCTGGAAGAGAGAGGGGCGGCGTGGGGGCAGGCGGAGGCCGGAACGCACAGCTCCGGAGCCCGAACGCAGCGGGGCTCTCGCCTCGAGACCCGGGTTACACATCATTTAATATTAAACGGTAATTCCCAGCCTCTTCAGAAACATCCACCACAATCAAGCAATCAACTGTTTTTAAAAATAAAATTTGAATGTGAAATGTGGCTATTAGAGCAGGAAGAACGCATCCGAGGTAAGCGGGGAGCTGTGTGATGTCAGAGCCCGGCCTGGTGTCGGGCAGCGGCGGCGCCGATTCCGTCTCCCGCGCCCCAGCGGGAGGAGAACCGCGCTGGGTACTTGCTACCAGAGGGGACAGTGTGTGCAGAAGCCTTTGGGGACAGCCGTCCCTTCCTTTTAGGATGGGCTACCTGCGGAATTATCTTTGGGGACAGGTGATGAGCTGGGAGGCCCTTGTCCTCAGCCCCACCCAGGTGAACGCTCACAGGCTGGAAATGAGACCTGCAGAGTCTTCCCGGGGCGTCCTACCTGCCCTGTGGTTCCTCCCTTATTCCCCAGCCCCTCGGGACCAAGGGGGCTTCCAGAGGCCATGCAGGCTGACCACAGGCCCACACTTGCCAGTCCAGGGATTTCACAAAGGACGCGGTCAGAGAGCCCAAATGCCACTTGGGTGACATGGCCACAGGAAGGACAGGCGGGTGGCATCTCCCCTTATCTGGCTGCCATTCTCACCACCCCGTGCCCACCTGTCTCCTTTCCATCAGAGCCCATATGCAGGGAGGGCTCCTGGTACACCTGGGCTGTCCCCTGCCTGGCTTTCCGACAGGAGCCACCCTGGGTGCAGATGAAGGCCTGGCTGGTAAGCGAAGGTGACAAGGTGAATGCAAAACACAGAGCCGGCCCCACCCGAAAAGGCTTCCTGCAGGGAAGGGCCAGGGTCTGGAACCCACCTGTCCCTCCCTGGGGGGGAGGTTCTCCCTGGGGCCCTTTGAAGGTTTGCTACAAACTCAAAAGTACGGGAAAAGCAAGATGAAGTTTGGGCCACCCGTCACAGAACGGGCCACAGAGTCCGCTGTCTCCCCTGGGGAGATGGGCAGTGGGATTGGTCCTCTTACATCCCTGTGATCCAGGGGTCCGAAGCCCCTTGGCCAGCCGGTCCTGCCTAAGAATCCCTGCTGTGAGCAGCCTGCTGACCTCATCCCCTGTCCCCAGGAAGGTGCCCAGTGTGCTGGCCGGAGGCAGCCTGGATGTCTCCCTGTGCTGGTCAGGGAGGGCTGGCCCCACCCTCCCACGGCCTGCCCCGGAGGGGCCTCCTCTGCTCCCAGAGCCCAGCTCTCCCCCATCTCCCTGTGGTTTCGGTTATCCCGAGGCTCCAGCCCTGCCTTCCGTCCCTGTCTGTAGCTGGCGGGGGATCCGTGTCTGCTACTCTACGAGGGAGCGGGAGCGTGAGCTTCGACACTAAAAGGAGACACGGGCGCTGGCGGAGTGGCTGCGGGCAGGCGAGGCCGCCAAGGTGCTTTCGAGCAGCAGGTCACCCAGCAGTCCCCGATTTTCTCAGGGGTGTATCAGGTGCGTACACCAAGGCCAGCCTCAAAGTAGGCCAGTTTCCAGGAGGAAATAGGCAAAGGCCGCCCGCAGCAAAGCGGTAACCTAGTTCAGCAGACAGAGCGGCTGGGGGAGGAAGGGAGGGTATGAATGGGGCCGGCCCAGCGACCTGCCACCGAGACGGCAGGGGCAGGTACAGGATCCCGCCTGGCCGGGCTGCTGGCTGGAGGGCGCTGTCCCTACCTCTCCCGGGAAGGTCCCGAGGAAATGAGAAGCGGGGATTGTGCTCTGGATGGGCAACGTCCAAAGGCTCACTCAGACCCAGAGAAAGGCTTTGGAAACAGGGACACCACACAGCCCGAGAAGCTATGCCAGGAAGGCTGCGCCCAAGGGTCAGTGCGGAGCGTGAGCAGCCTGTGGTGGCCACTGCCCCGGCGGGAGCCAGCGGAGCAGGCTGGGCTTGGAAAATAGGGGCCTTTCTGAGTGCACCTCCCCGGGGACCCCCACGGCCACCCATTTCCAGGCCACAAGGGCCCGAGGAGCCTTACCAATTTTTTAAGACAAGAGTTGTGATGAGAGCAGCTATGACCATGATGAGCGAGACGGTGATGGTGATGACCTGATGGACAGCCAGACCTGGAAGGAGAGAGGGAGGAGGGCGTGCGTGAGACCAGGCTCGCGAGAGCACGGGGTGCCAGGCAGGGCGGGGCAGCCCCCCAGCATGGCTGTGGATGCAGGGCCCATCCACAGCAGCCTTGGGGCCACATGGCAGGCGCTCGGATCTCTCTTTCCTGACTCACGGCCAGCAGAATGGTGGGCACCGCGGCTGTTCTCACCTAGGGTCCAGGAAGGAGGCTCCAGCTCTGGCCTCCCTCATCCCCATTCCCTTTCATCCCCACGCCGTGATCTGGCCCAAGGGGGCTGTGTCCTTTCTTGCACCTGCTGAGCCCTTCACCTGTAGCCTTTACCTGGTGACAGGTAAGCTTCGGCTGAGACATTTCCTGAGGACCTGTCCCATGTCCCTTCTCTCCTTTACCCTGAGCAAGTTCTGCTCCTTGATTCTGGAGCTGTGAGCACCAGAGGTGCTGGTCTGTGAGTGGCAGCAAGGTCTGGCCTGACCTGGGGGAGCTAGGATGGCCCAGGACTTACTGGGGACATGGGGAGGAGGAGCACATGGGTGACATCTTTGCAGACCCTGGGCACTCAGATCACTAGGGCTCTGCCCTCTTTCCAGGGCTCCGTCTAAGAAGTTCACTGCCCAATGCAGTCCCAGGAATTAAAGGTCCAGGAAGGAGAGTCGATGGTCTGGCCTTGCTGCCCCCCCCACGTACTCCCTAAATAGGGCTGGGGCACCTGAACCGGCAGCACGGGGACAGGAAGACCAGCGCGTCAGAGCAAGGCAGTCAGAGCCCCGGCCGTGCGCTGCATGCGAGCCCCTCCACACGTGAATCCTCTCCCATCCCCTCCCTGTGTCCCCATCCCTCCTGCAACATCTGCCACCAACCACAGACGCGGGGCGGGAGGCAGGAAGGCAGGCTCGCCATAGGCCGCGATCCCTCCTGACCACATATCTGTCCCATCCTCCCCGGGGCATGGACAGTAGGGGAGTCCCCTGGCTGACTTCACAGTCAGGGCCACCAGGAAGGTCCACGGCTCTGGCTCTGTCCTACTGGGCAGGGAACTGGGGGACGAGGGCAGTGGGGAAGCTTTCGGGGCCTGCAGGTGGCAGCAGCTCACCCTACCAATGTGCCTGTCTCCCCAGGCTCCTCACCGGACCTGTCTGAGCAGCTGTCCTGTCTTCCTGGGTCTCGGATCTTGGTGTCCACTTCGCAGAGGCCCGCCCATCACACCTGACCACCTGGCTGGCCGCTGGGGCGAGAACCCTGCGCGTGCCTGTTTTAGCATGGTGGATTTCAGAGTGTCACGATTTTTCTGGCAGTCTCCCAAGGACACAGTCACAAAAAAATGTTACCTCTCTGCTGAGTATCATCCTCGTGGGGAAATTGTTAATAAATGATTAAAAGTTGGCATGACCAGAAAACCAGCTTTGTCTCCCAATTTCCCCTCTTTGGGGGCAACTGCAGTTTGTCATGAGGGATCCCCTCCTGAACCCACAGGGTAAGCACCATCAGGGAGGCAGGGGGTCTCCCTGCATCCCTCTTCAATCCACTGATTCGAGAATGTTTATTGTGCACCCACTGCATGTCCGCAGTGCCCGTGGTGAGCAGGTCGGCTGTGGTCCCCGCCCACGGGGAACGACTGCTCTGGGGCCTGTTTTGCAAAGTGGCAACCTTCACTGCTCGTTCTGGTGAATGGCCTCATGCACACCACTTTTGTGGCACCCAATAGAACCTCTGGGTGAGGTTCCCTCCTCCGGGACTGGCAAATTGGCTTGCCAATAGGTTGAAGCTATGTTAGCCTCGGGGACCACAGTCGACCTCACCAGCAACGGAGTGCCCGCCGCCTCAGCAGCCCTACCTCTGCACCAAGTCCCTAGGACCCAACTCGGGTCCCGCGGCCATAGGGAGGGTTCACAAGGATGGGCAGCCATGGGGGGTGGTCTGCCTGCTCAGTCTCCTCTCATTCTCCACCCCCATGCTCCCTCCAGCCCAGTCAAGAGACAGCCATGCTGTCGCCAAGAGAATGTGCTCACCCTGTGTCTGTGCTTCCTGTGATAAGGAGGCTGTTGCGGCTAATGGTCATGATGATGGTTACGATGGTGATGGTGGTTGTGGTGATGATTGATAATGATAGTGACGATGGTGATGGTGATGGTGATGATGGTGGTTGTGGTGATGACAGTGATGGTGGTGATGGAGATGGGGTGATGGTGGTGGTGATGGTGGTGGTGGTGATGGTGATGGTGATGGTGGTGATGGTGGTGATGGTGATGGTGGTGGTGATGGTGATGGAGATGGTGGTGATGGTGGTGATGGTGATGGTGGTGGTGATGGTGATGGTGGTGATGGTGGTGATGGTGATGGTGGTGATGGTGATGGTGGTGATGGTGGTGATGGTGATGGTGGTGATGATGGTTGGTGATGGTGGTGATGGAGATGGGGGTGATGGTGGTGATGGTGATGGGGGTGATGGTGGTGATGGTGATGGTGGTGATGGAGATGGATGGTGATGGTGATGGTGGAGATGGTGGTGATGGTGATGGTGATGGGGGTGATGGGGGTGATGGTGATGGTGGTGGTGACGGTGGTGATGGTGATGGTGATGGTGGTGGTGATGGTGATGGAGATGGGGGTGATGGTGGTGATGGTGATGGTGGTGGTGACGGTGGTGATGGTGATGGTGATGGTGGTGATGATGGTGGTGGAGATGGTGGTGATGGTGGTGATGGTGATGGTGATGATGGTGATTATCACAGATATACTCAACAACTGATAGCAATTGTCATGTGTGTTATTATCCAATTTATTCCTGATAACAATCTCAGAGGGAGATATTGTCATTAACACTTATGAAAGTAAATACTATCTGGGTGAGTTTGTTTAAATTCCTCAGATTACATGGGATCTGCTGGCTCCATAGCCCTTACTAAAAGCAGTCATATTATTCTGAGCTCAGAGGTGGTTAATCGCAGTGTTGGCTGAGACCCGATGGCCTCCCTCCTCCCTCCTACCAGGCAGAGGCTGGTTTCTCTCCCTTCTACATTCCTGGGAAGGATCGAGCTTCTGCAATCACGGAGGCAGGTGCTTATGCCCCACCACCTCCTCCATGGCAGGTTCCCCCCGCAGTGCTCCGGGCCCACACCAGGTCTCTCTCAGCCCACTCTTGGCAAGTCACATCCCAACCCCCATGGTGAGGACTAGGTCTTTGCTTCTTGGACTGCACCTGCCATCGTCTAGGCCAAAGCTGGAGAACTCAACACCTACAGAGGTGGGTGACATAAAAGGGCCAAGAGAGCAGGGGACGAGCCGCACAGGCAGCGGTAGGGAAGGGTTCAACCTGAGAGGCCAAGCCCAGCTGGGGGCACAGTGCCCTTACAAGAGTAGAACACTGCCTCAAACATCTGTGGGCCAGAGGAGGCCCAGGGCCTCATCTCATTACTGCGAGAAGTCTCCTACTGGTGTGAATCTTTGTGGTGGCCGAAGTCCTTGGAAGGGAAGAGTTTCATGACTGGCTGTGTCTTAGGTGGTTAATTCCCTTCTGTCCACATTCGCAGGGAGGTTGGGAAAACATTGATTCTCCTTTTCTGATGGATCAAAGAAATTGAGGCCCAGAGCGGGGAAGAGTTGCCTCAAGGGACATTCTTACTGATGACACTAAGAGCAGAAGGACAACCCTTTTCCTGAGGTCCCTGTGAGCCTCTGAGCACCTTAAGAAGGAGACCAAATCATCATCTTTATACCCGCGCCCTTTACACACTGCATGACATGGCGTCTTAGCTGGGTGAGGTATTATTAAGCTTAAAACTGAGAAGTCGAAAATAAGAAACCAGGAGAACAAGAACAAAGGCAATTTTGAATTTCCTATGTCTGCCTTGCTCTGAAGGCCCTTCTGCCTTCTGTGTGAATTTTCTTCATCAGATTTTCCAGATTAAAATGTGAAGGATGCAATATGTGCTTAATAACCAGCTAAGAGGCTCCGGGCAGACATACAATAACGCAGCAGCTACGCTTTCTGGAATGATCCCTTTATGCCGACACCTTGCCAAGTCTACACACTGCGATCGATTTCATCCAGCCCCACTCCACATCTTTTGCGCTTGCCCGACTGACCAGGAGCCTGTGCTGGAGAAGTAAAATGACCTTTCCCTGGTCACCCGGCAGAACCAGGACTAAAAGCAATTCTCTGCTCTGGAGTCCCTAAGAAAATCAAATGTCTAAATCCAATTCCAGCCTATCTGTAGCCATATTCTGATATTAAATTGGTTAGGATAAACATTTCACTGCCCTTTACATACTGTTCTTGCAAAACAAACAGCCCTGTGCTCCAAGGCCTGGCTCTCGGGTTCCGATGGATCACTAGGCTCCTGCGCAAGGAGCCACGACTACGAGCAGAACCGACAGACCCCAGGGTCTTGACGGCTGAACAAGGACTGGGCCTTTTGACATGTGGCCCAAATAGTATTTGGAGGAAGCAGGTTGAAATATGGAAAATCCGTAAAGACGTCTCATCATTTCCTCTCTTTGGAAGGTCGCCTACTTAGAAGAACAGAACAACATGTGAGAAGTTGTGTAGCGTTTAAAGCATCTGTCCTGTCATTTAGTTCTCTCCAAATGCCAGGAGTCGTGTCCTCATCTGTGTGAGTCCCTTAAGTGTTCTTGTGGGTTCCAGGTAGGCTAACGTTTTCGTAAAGGACAGAAGAGGCAATAATTTAGGCTTTGCAGGCAGTAGTGGTCTCGAGTGGTCTCGGTCACCACTGCTCACCTCTGCCACTGCCGCACAGAAGCAGCCCCAGACAAGCAAACAAATGGGCACGGGCTGTGTCCCCGTAACATTTTATTTACAAATTGGTAGCTGTATTGGGCCCACGGACCACGGTTTGCAGAGTCCTGATTTAGGAGAATAGCCAAAGGTGGCTCAGTTTGTAAATTAGGAAAAGTATATATCTGCTTTGAATGATTAGTTAAAGCTGGGAATCAAACTGCCACCTTTATCTGGACAGGCTAGAACCTTCCACT